CATTCAGTGGTCTTTCCAGCAAAGATCACTGAAAGGAATGAAGGTGGAACTCCCACCCCAAACGATATACAGAGTTAATTCAAAGAGGATCAAAGACCTACCTGTGAGAGCTAAAACTTTAAAATCCTTAGAAGCAAACATAGGGGTAAATCTTTTGGACCTTGGATTTGGCAATGACATTTGACATTCTTAAGTCTAAAACCAAAAGCACAAACGAGAGAAGGAGAAAGAAAAGCATAAATTCATCAAAATTAAAAACTTTTGTGCCTCAAAGGATACCATCAGGAAAGTAAAAGTACAGTCCACAGAATGGGATAAGACATTTGAAAGGCATATAGCTAATAAGGAACTTGCGTATAGAACCCATTAAAAAATTCTTATAGCTGAATAATAAAAAGACCACCCAATGAAAAAAATGACCAAAGGACTTGAACAGACATTTCTATAAAAGAATATAAACAAATGGCCAATAAACAAATGGAAAGAATGCTTAAAATCATTAGTCATCAGATAAATGCAAGTGAGACTCCACACCCACTAGGATTGCTATTAATATAATCAGAAACTATAATATAACAAGTTGTTGGTGATGGTGTGGAGACACCAAATCCCTCAGCTGTTGCTGCTGGGGATGTGAAATGGTGCAGCCCCTGTGGAAGACAGTCTGACAGTTCCTCAAAAAGCTAAACATGGGGTCACCGTCTGACCCTGTGTTCCATCCTAGGTAGGAACCCGAGGCAGTGAGAGTCCACACACACACACTTGCAGACAGATATTCCCAGCAGTGTTCTGTTTTCCTTCAGATGGAATCTTGACTTCGAGGTCATGAGCAGCAGAGAGTATGCTGTGTGACCAGTGGAGCGTCTGGTTTGGACTGGAGAAATAACGTGCAGTTTGTGTCTTTGTGTTGCTTGATCTTTTTTCCAGTGATGAGCTTCGGCTGGGCCACGAGAAGGAGCCTGCCTTCAGACACTACGTCGCTGTGGCACGAGGAAGCCGAGAGCACAGCGTTCGTGCCCAGGAGCCCGAAAGTGGACTTTCAGAGGAGGCCCAAGTGAGGTGCCTGGTTGACCAGGCAACTGACCCCAACATCCTTGGCAGAACTTGGGCAGGGTGGGAGCCCTGGATGTGAGATTCCCCCGGAGGCAGCAGACAGGACCCCTGTGTGTGTTTAGAGACCATCCTGAACTCTGATCCAAGCCACCAGTGACTTCATCTTCCCAAAGCCCCAGAGAGCAGGCGTCTGTGTGCGACTTCCTGTCATATCACAGTTTAATCCAGCTCGTGATGAAGTGAATGCCGACCCGGGAGAGGGACTAGGCCGTGGTCAAGGATGAGCTTAGGATCACAGTGGACGTAGAAGGGCGGGTGTATCCAGGCTCTTGTGAGCACCAGATCATGGCACAGCAAACAGGCGCTATGGCCGGATGAACATTAGTGATGTGTGTGAGCATCCCATGTGCCTTGGAAATTACACCCAGAAGACTTTGTCCCACAGACTTTGTGAGAGTAACTGATGGGATGTTAGGCTGTATCAGCAGTGCAAGAATATGAACAGGTCAGGGTGCGGTTATGGCTTGTTATATTTACACATGGTTGTGTAATGTGTGAACAGAAAGGATCTCTTTATTGTTGTCTGGAATTGTGGCACCATCTGTTACCCAGTGGCTTTCAGAAAATTGATAAATAAACACAAGGGAGTCAAAAATGATGTTCCCTCAATGCTATGAGAACTTTATAGATGTTTATCCACAGATTTTCTCCTTGATTGTGATTTGACATGATTGTGTTTGACATTTTAGAATATTTTTGTAGGTTTTCTCTTTCACATTTTTCTCCTCTAGCTTTGACATTTTATGATAGAATTGTCCTCTGGAAGGAAAAGTGTTGAGGAGAGAGAAAGCCTTGGTCTTAGTTTTGCTACCTTCACTACTCTGATCACAGCTGGAAGGTGGATACAAGAGCTTTGCATCCCAGACTCAGGAAGTCTAAAAGTAGGCCTGGCACTTGACATTCCCATTCAGAAGGAACATGAAGAAAACCCCTGCTTGAAGTGAGTCTTCCTTGGAGATAAAGCATGATTCTGGGGCAGCCGGGTCAGGTTATGAAATGCAGGATGGGAACAGCTTCCGGTCCACTCACCAAGCCTCGGTCCCCACGCCTCCCCAGCTGGAGCCTGTTTCAGGCTGACTTGAGCTTTGTGTTACAGCTTTCCAAACATTTCTAATCAGATACTCTTGGATGATTTGGGGAAATAATGAATCTTAGTGGCCCGACCAGGGATCAGATCCACATCCCCTGCATTACAAGGTGGATTCTTTTTTGGGGGGAGAGTTTGGAAGACCATTTGTCCTTCAGTTTTATTTTCACTTTAATTATTGTGAAATAAGTTTTAAGTGTGGACCATATTCTCCAATTCTAGCTAAAGAGATAAGCATGTTTGTATATGTGTGGACAAGCTTGTAGATTTCTAATTGTTGTCTCAACACTTTAAATCACAACACTTTAAAGTCACAGGTCCCTCCTTGGAGAGATTAAGGGTTGTTCCCATTGCTGTTGGCCAGGATAATCATGGACTGACAGTGTAGATGAACAGAAAGGATCTCTTTATTGTTGTCTAGAGTTGTGGCACCATCTGTTACCCAGTGGCTTTCAGAAAATTGATAAATAAACAAACACAAGGGAGTCAGAAATGATGTTCCCTCAATGCTATGAGAACTTCCTTACAGATGTTTATCTCCAAATTTTCTTCTTGCAAAACATTAGTTATAGAAAAACACACATTTATACCACGTTCAGTTGTGAGGTTTTTGAGCTCTACCCCGTATACTTCAGAATCAGTCACTCTTTGGTTGTAAAAAAAAATGTAGGCAAATTGCCCTTAAACTTTGTTTGGCATCGTGAATTTGAAAATAGACTGCTGTTGTCCACCTGGACCTCTTGAAATGGAGTTCAGATCAGTGGTGTGCCAGAGCCCTCTTATTCCCACCCACAGGAGCAACATTCAGAACATCAGGAATTTTGCCAGCTAATTGTTAAGCTCACTCAGAAAGTCAGCAAGCACTGCAGATCAGGGCTTCTGTTTATCAGAGAGTCTGTGCTCCAGTGGACAGCTGGCATCCACGGTTACGGTGCAGTCAGTCCACGCTTGTGTCGGTCCAGCATGACGCCCGCAAGCTCCTGGATGCCAGTGTGTGGAGGTCACGTCCTAGGTGTCTCCCGCTGTGTCTCCTGTCATCCTGCACCTCTGCCTGGTTCCTATCTTTATGGTCTTTGTTCACGATCACTGCCACTGCCTCCCAGCAGACTCTCTACCACTGGGGGGACTTCCCCGGTGGTCCAGGAGCCAAGACTCCATGTGCCCACTGCAGGGGGGACAGGTTCAAGCCCTGGTTCAGGGAACTAAGATTCCCACAGGCTGCACAGTGTAACCAAATAAATAAATAAGTAAATCTAGTACTAGAATACAGTTTAAGAAAGAACCCTGCTATCCTGGAATTGCAGAGAAGATAGTTATCTTGGACTATTGGGAAAAATTGCTATATAAACAGGGCACTTTTGATTGACTGTAAAGTAGGTGTGGTTTTTATAAAGTAGTACCCCCCAAAATTGTTCTACAGACTGAATCTATGACTGTAGAATTTATTTTCAAAACAGTTGGCCAGCGCTAGGTTACAGCCTGTGACTATGTGACAGTGACGGAATACAGCCACAGTGCTGCTGACCCCGTGAGTTTTGACCTCATGATTTTCCTGTTCTAGCCAGCTGATCAGGAGCAGTTTGTCGATGAAAATATCCCCCAGAGGGACTGCTTCCCTGGGGCATGGTTACACCCATCTCTATCTTACTCTGCCCGAGCCTGGGCTGGGGGAGACCCTCCAAGCTGCCTCAGCACCAGTGTGCTATCACCCAGCCTGGTGTAAGTGTGTCCATAATTAACACTGGTTGTTGTCATTTTAACTTCTAAGTCATGTCCAATCCTTTTGTGACCCATGAACTGCAGCTCTTCGGGCTCCTCTGTCCATGGGATTTTCCAGGCAAGAATACTGGAGTAGGTTGCCATTTCCTTCTCTAGGGGATCTTCCCCACCCAGGGATCAAACCTGCCTCTCTTGTGTCTTCTGCATTGGCAGACAGATTCCTTTCTACTGAGCTAATTAACAGTGTTAGATGTGCAGAAATACAAGAATGCTGCATTTTCTTCTTTATTTTTTTCCATTTTCACCATTTTTAAAAGTTTTTTATTTTTATTTTATTTATTTATTTTTTTTAGGAAGTCCCAAAACAAGTCTTTTATTTATTTATTTATTTTCATTTATTTTTATTAGTTGGAGGCTAATTACTTTACAATATTGTAGTGGGTTTTGTCATATATTGACATGAATCAGCCATGGATTTACATGCATTCCCCATCCCGGTCCCCCCTCCCACCTCCCTCTCTACCTGATTCCTCTGGGTCTTCCCAGTGCACCAGGCCTGAGCACATGTCTCATGCATCCAGCCTGGGCGGGTGATCTGTTTCACCCTAGATAATATACATGTTTCGATGCTGTTCTCTCAAAACATCCCACCCTCGCTTTCTCCCACAGAGTCCAAAAGTCTGTTCTGTACATCTGTGTCTCTTTTTCTGTTTTGCATATAGGGTTATCGTTACCATCTTTCTAAATTCCATATATATGCGTTAGTATACTGTATTGGTCTTTATCTTTCTGGCTTACTTCACTCTGTATAATGGGCTCCAGTTTCATCCATCTCATTAGAACTGATTCAGATAAATTCTTTTTAATGGTTGAGTAATATTCCATGGTGTATATGTACCACAGCTTCCTTATCCATTCATCTGCTGATGGGCATCTAGGTTGCTTCCATGTCCTGGCTATCATAAATAGTGCTGCAATGAACATTGGGGTGCACTAAAGTTTTTTATTTTTTAAGTGAAGGATAACTGCTTTACAGAATTGTGTTGGTTTCTGCCAAACATCAACATGAAAGCCACACAGCCTCATTAAGAACGTAAAACATTTGTGAGTCTCCTGCAGGTTTTCTTCTCTGGATTGTAGAAGCTTGCTGTCAGCACAGCACTCTGGGCCTGGAGAGTTCAGAGAATCACTTCAATAATGTGACAGCCTCATCCAGTTAAAATGGAATTCAATGCCAGCTTCCCTCAGAGACATTCACTGAAACTCTGTGCATGAGTCATTCCTATTGTCACTTAATAATGTCTCTCACGTTTGCCAGCCAGTGACAGCATTGCTCAAGTTCATTAGGCTGGACTGGACTTCCCTGGGATGTGTGAAGCCTCCCACAGCTCATTCTGCATCTTGTTCCAAGCAAGGAGCAGCAGCCCGTGCCACACTGTTGGGGGCAAGAGCAGAGGTGGGTGGGATCCGGGGCTGACCCCTGCGAGGTGGATTCTTAGCAAAGTGGTTTGATACTTAACAATAGTAAATCTCCCAATCCATGAACACAGTGTTTTCCCTTTTATTTAACTTCTTTCAGCAGTGTTTTGTAATTTTTACTAGTTTTTGTTGTTTCTACTCTTCAATTCCATTTTTGAGACAAAGAATGGTATATGAAAATGACATACCGATATTTTCTGTAAAGTTCATGAAGGATATGTAGCCCAGGTAAGCATGTACAAAGGAGAGCATGTCACCATGACCCCTTACAGAGCTGGGAAAGAACACTGTTGTTTTAAGAAGTTACACTGCTAGCATCAGAAGGAAAAGAAACACTGATCTTGATGGCTAAGCAGGCACTCCACCTTGGAGGAGCTGTAGTTAATGTGTGATCAGACACACCCTACATCCCTCTACACACTAAAGGAACCAGAGGGAGGGAGGAGGCCTGAACAAAGAAATTTTTGTTTAATTTTTCTTGTCCTGCCTTCAAATAGAAATTTTTATTTCATCACACTTTAGCGCCTGTATTAGAAAAGAAAGATTGCAAATCAGTAACCTAATGCTACATGTTTAGGAGACTAAGAAAAGGAAGAGCAAAGTAAACTTGGTGCCAGTAAAAAGAGCACAAAAGGAAGCAGCAAGCAAAACATTAATTCTTTGAACAGCTCATTGATAAACCTAGACTAATTCAGGAAAAAAAACCCCGCAAATATCTAATAGCAGAAATGAAAGTGGAGCGCAGAGCGGTTTGGTCGTTCGTTGGAAGGAGTTCTTCCGTTCGTTGGAAGTTTTTCCCGTAGCTGAGCTACTGGCTCTTTGCGCAGCAGCGGCAGTGCGGCAGTCGGAGAAGCGGCCTAAAACTTAGGCGCCGAGTAAAAGAAAATGGCTCGAACCAAGCAAACTGCTCGTAAGTCAACCGGTGGGAAAGCGCCCCGCAAGCAGCTGGTCACAAAAGCAGCCAGGAAAAGCGCCCCCTCTACCGGCGGGATGAAGAAACCTCATCGCTACAGGCCCGGGACTGTTGCGCTTCGAGAAATCCGTCGTCACCAGAAATCCACCCAGCTTCTGATCCGGAAACTGCCTTTCCAGCGGTTGGTGAGGGAGATCGCCCAGGATTTCAAGACCGACCTGCGGTTCCAGGGTGCCGCCATCGGCGCGCTGCAGGAGGCTAGCGAAGCCTACCTGGTGGGCTTGTTTGAAGATACTAATCTGTGTGCCATCCACGCTAAGAGAGTAACCGTCATGCCCAGAGACATCCAGTTGGCTCGCCGGATACGGGGAGAGAGATCTTAAGTGAAGGCGGTTTTTATGGTGTTTAGAAGTAAATTCTGTAAAATTTTGGTTTAATTTGTGACTTTTTTTGTAAGAAATTGTTTATAATATGTTGCATTTATACTTAAGTCGTTCCATTTTTCACTCAGGAAGAAGGCGAAAAGGGACTGTTCACAGACCTCAGTGATGTGAGCACTGTTGCTGAGGAGTAACAAGTTGCTAATATGCAGAAGGGATGGGTGATATTTCTTGCTTCTCATGATGCATGTTTCTATATGTTAATGATTTGTTGTGTAGCTATTAAGGTACTAGAATTGATAAATGTGTACAGGGTCCTTTTGCAATAAAACTGGTTATGACTTGATCCAAGTGTTTAACAGTTGGGACTGTTAAGTCTGACCATACATCACTGTGATAGAATGTGGGCTTTTTTAGGAGTGAAGATACAAGTCTTAACCACAGTGTAACTTAACAGTTTCCTTTAAAAAAAAAATGTAAACCTGGCAGATATAGAATACACTATGTGCATTTACAGTAGCTATTTTGTATATTGTAGTGTCAACATTTTAAAATTAAATGTTTTACATTGACATGTGCTGTGGAGTATTGTCTTTAAGGGGTGTGTAATTGAGAGACCGATAGGTTTTCTCCTGAGTAAACTGCACTTGTTTATGTAGTAAAATGCTTTGCACATTATGCCTTGTATAAGTCCTTGTTCTACACGTTAAACTAACCGTCTATCTGATAACGCAAACTCTAACAGGGAGGGGGATTTATTTATAAGGGCTCTAGACTATAATACAAGTTATTCATACCAGCATCATCTGTTACTAATATAGTAGTTAGTGCAGCTTTTCTTTTCGTTGTGATTGGTCTCATAACTAGGTTGAACTTTTCTCTACCAAGGAGGAACAATACCAAACTTTTTTTCCTTGTGGGGTTTGTATTATAATAACTATTAGGGTAAACTTGCTTTGGGGGAGGGACACAGCTTCAACTTATGGAACCTCTGCCAGTTAAAATGGTGTTCATGTGGCATAGGTTCTAGGAAAATCACTTCATAGAGATGGCTTTTCAAGTGGTTTTAAAATTTATCCTTCTATTGAAGTTTTTAGGTCAATTATGTATGTTGACTAAATTTACAAATAAACTTGCTTATTCAAAAAAAGAAATGAAAGTGGAGACATCAACCTTACAGAAATGAAAATTCCTAGAAATATAAATTGCCAAAACTGACTCAAGAAATAGAAAATCTGAACAGATCTGCAATGAGACTTAATTAGTAATTAAAAATAAACCCCAACCCCCCCACCCCCGCCAAAAGAAATGGACAGTATACTGGTGACTTCTACCAAACACTGAAAAAGGAGTTAACACCAGTCCTCAAATGCTTCCCAAAAATGTCAGAAACGGAAAAACTCCCTAATCGATTCCAGGAACCTAGCATTACCCAGATATCAAAGCCAGAGACTCTATAAGAAAACAGTAGACCAATATCCCTTACAGACACTGATGCAGAAATCCTCGGTAAAACACTCGGAAATGGAGTCCAGTAACACTAAGGATTACTCACTGGCACATGGTAGCATCCCAGCACTGCAGGGTTGCTTCAGCATCTAATGCCCATTGTTGCAATGCACAACATTAATACACAAAGGAAAAAAAGTTTCATCTCAATGCAAAAAAGTATCTGACAGATTCAATACAGTTTCACCAGTTTCACGATAAAAATCACACAGCAAACTGAGACTAGAAGGGAAGTTACTCTCCCTGACAAAGGACATTTATGAAAATCCACAGGTAACATTCTACTCATTGGCGAGAAAACGTTCCCCTGAGGTCAGGATCAAGAGAAGGATGCCCACTTTCACCACTGCTGTTCAACACTGCTGATGTTCTAGTCAGAGCAGTCAGATGAGAAAAAGATTCAAATTAGGAAAGAAGAAAAGAAAAAAAATCAGACGACTAACAGACAACATGTCCTATATACAAAAAAAAAATCCCAAAGATTCACAAAGTACTGGAGATTGTAAATTAATCCAATGGTAATTAACTGTTCTTATCCTCTTCAATGCATCTGTTCTCAGATTTTTTGCTCCAGAGAAGTGATGGAACTTCTGCTGGAATCAGGACTCCAAAAGAGGTACTCTTATCAGTGGGTGATTGTCCAAATATTTACTCTTTGGGAGGATAACAGTAGAAAACTCTTATTCTACCATCTTGCTGACATCACTCTCCTACATAGCTGTCTTGAAAAAGTTTCAACATATAACTCAGCAATGTAGTACATGCAAGGTACACTTCTGTACACAGTTTCATAGGTATATAAGCATAACCAGTAACATGTACCTTATAGTGTTTCAGCATATTTCAATTATAAAACTTGTACATATATAGATACAGTAAAAGGATGAATGTGCAAACATATAGCTAAAAACAATTTTTAATTCCAAAAAATAGTATACACCTAGGTTGTTTAAACACAGAGGTTTAGTACACACAGTAAAATAGGAAGTAAGTAACTCACCCTATTGAATACATTATGTGCAGTTTTTGTATACCTATATCTCAATAAAGCTGGGGGAAACAAAGTATGTTTCACACATATACTTCTTTCCATAGTAGCGCACCCACCAGTTTTACACTGAATTATGATACACCATTTAATAATGGGGCAGCCATGCCATGCGTATGTAAACACAACGTTTCTAACATCTTAGTACTGATGAACACATGCCTAACACTGTTAAACACACTGTTTCAACAAACACCATTCAAAGGTCAGAGTAAGACTTAGGCGCAGAGTCCGATTTAGAGTCAGACTGAATGTCAAGGTCAAAATTGGATTTAGGGTACTTGCAGTGTGCGGCCCAAGGTCAGCTTCAGGGTCATTATGAGGGTAAAGGTCAGGGACAATCAGGAAGAATCAAGCAGCAGATGAGATTCAAGCTCATATGGTCAGGACAGGTTCAGAGTCTGGGTGAGGACAAGGGTCAGAGGTGACAAGATGTTCATTGTGAGGTATATGGTCATCAAGATCTTCATGGTTAGGGTCAAGATCATGGCAGTAGGGTCAAGGTCATGGCAGTATTAAATGGCAGAATTAATGTCAAGGTTAAGTTTAGGATGGGCGCTAGATCAGGGTCAATGTCAAAGTTATGAGGAAGGTTCTATTCAGTATCAGGGTAATTATCAGGGTTAGGAAGATGGTCAAGATCTAGCCCAAAGTGAGTGTGAAGGTCATAGGGTCAGGGTAAAGGTCAAGTTCTGGTCTGTATGAGGATTGAGGTCAGTTTCATGTTAGGGGTGTGTATAAGGGTGATGGCGTCATTGACTCAGTGGACATGAGTTTGAGCAAACTCCGAGAGATAGAAGAGGACAGGGAAGCCTGGCATGCTGCAGTCCATGGGGTGGCAAAGAGTAGGACACAACTGACCAACTGAACCACAGCAACAAGGGAGAAGGCTCAGTCATGGTAAATGTTAGATTCACTTATGGTGGATGAGGGTGTATATTAGGTCTGTGTAACAAATTGACATAAACTAGTTAGCTTAAACCAAAAGAAGTGTATTCTCTCACAGATGTCACAGATGTCAGAAGTCTGAAATCTAGGTGTGGGCAGGGCCATACTCTCTCCAAATGCTCCAGGGGAGGTGCCTCCTTGGTCTCTTGCAGTTTCTGGTCCCCCTGCAGCTCCTGGGCTTGTGATGGCATCACTCCAGTCTCTGCCTCTGTCTTCATGTGCACTTCCTCCATACCCGTGCTTTCTCCTTTTCCATGTTTTAACATATATCACTGAACAAACTAGTACATGCTCCACCCACAATGCAACGGCATTCAGCATATCTCATCTCAAGGTCCTTAATTCTGCAAAGGCCCTATTTCCAAGTAAGGTTACATTCACAGAAACTGGTATTAGAACTTGGATACCTGTTTTGGGGACTACTATTCAAGCCAGCGTAAGGTCGAGGTCAGGAACATTTAGGGTCAGACTCATGGTCAAGTCTCATACAGGCTTAGGTTAGCTTCAAGGTATAGCCGAGAGTAAGGATTAGCATGTATGAACATTCAGTTCAGTTCAGTTGCTCAGTCAAGTCTGACTCTGTGACCCCATGGACTGCAGCACTCCAGGGTTCCCTGTGCATCACCAACTCCCGGAGCCTACTCAAACTCATGTCCATTGAGTCAGTGATGCCATCCAACCATCTCATCCTTTATCGTCCCCTTCTCCTCCTGCCTTCANGCTTTCTGCCATTAAAGTGGTATCTGCGTATCTGAAGTTGTTGATATTTCTCCCGGCAATCTTGATTCCAGCTTGTGCTTCATCCAGCCCAGCATTTCGCATGATGTACTTTGCATGTAAGTTAAATAAGCAGGGTGACAAAATACAGCCTTAATGTACTCCTGAACATTAGGATTACAATAAGGCCAAGGGTTAGGTTCAGGGTTAGGGCTGGGTGACATGAGGGTCCAGTTCAGGTGTGGGTCAGTGCTGGAGTGAGGGTAGGGTCACTTGAGGGTCCAGGTCATCATGGTCAGTGTTGGGTGTTAGGCAGCGTACTGATGGCTGCAGTTACTGTCTCAGGAGGGTCAGGATCACAGGTCAAGGTCGGGTTAAGTTTCAGTGTCAGATTCAGGGTCCGTGTTAAGCTCTGGCTAAAGAGTGAGAACTGTGATCAGTTCAGGGTTAAGGTGAGTGTGAGTCAGGGTGAGATCCAAGGTATGTGTTAGGGTCAGCATTAGAGTGAGGGTGAATATCAGCGATGTTTATGTTCAGGGTTAGTTAAGGCTCAGGAAAAGGATTAGAGTCCAGGGCAGTTTGGGTATCAGGGTTAATGTCTGTTGGTTCAATTGTAAATTCCTCATAATTACACTGTGTTATTAATGGCATAATGTAGAGAACATAGACCTAGGTGTCACATTCGAGTCTAATTCTAAACATTACTAGCTCTACACCCTCAGGCAAGTTTACTTACTAATTATTAATTCACTTATTCATTCATATCTAGTATTTATTTGAGTGCTTTATATGTGGAAGAAACTGTGAAGTGCTATGGATATAAAGATCAAGAAGACAGAAATGGTACTGCTTTACATAGGTGGAGCCAGGTGATAATTATTTAGGTTATGAGTATTGTAACTTCATCAAAGGAGTATAGGGTTTGTGAAAATGAAGAACAGGAGGTTCAGTCTCCTAGGAGTTCAAGGAAACTGAGAACAGGTTCAAGTTCACTTTGTCTTGTTTTTTTAAATCTCAATTGAAAATTTTAAAAAATTATTTTCAAATATATCAAGGAATATTATAGTGAACCTCCATGTGTGGATCTCCCAGCTTCAGCAATTTTCAGGAGCTGTATAAAAACTGGCTTGGCAGAGACCAGAGCCTTTCAGGAAATGCAGAAGCAAATGCAAAGACTCTGAAGCCCCATGCACATTCAATAACTGCAGGTAAGGCTCCTGTGAAGAGCACACACATCCCTGGGTATCTGTGTGGAGAATGGATTGTGTGTACTTATATGTGCATGGATGAGGGCAAGAGTGGACCAGGGTATACTGCTTATGAGGCCACTGAGTAGACTGGGCAAAATAA